AAAAATGTCGATTTGATCTGACAATTCCTGTTACACAACAGCTGATGGAGTTTTACTCTGACCTACAGACTAGTGGGCCAGAGGTGCTGCTCCTGTGGGCTGCAGGAGCAGCACCTCTGGCCCACTACAGGCTGTGACTAAACAGCGACATCATGTGGTCACTGTTTGTTATAGCAACCTGCAGCTTTTGATTGATAATACAAACTGGGTGTGTGTGTGTATATATATATATATATATATATATATATATATATATATATATATATATATATATATATATATATATATATATATATAGACACTATAATAAAGCTGTTTTTAATCTGTAACCAGACCTGTTGCAAAAGATAATCTCACTGGAGTCAGATCCACCTTAATCCTGACACACACGTGTCTTCTGATGACCCGTCCTGGTGTCAGTCAAATACTCGGCTGGCGACTGAGGTGCTTATTTCTTTTAATTAGAGCGTGTAAATGTATTACAGCTCAGAGGCAGACATCTTTGACAGTGAAAATCACATCTCTGAGACTCGAAACTATGGAGCCAGGATTGGGACAATATTCCGTGTAACTTCTACCAAGTTTTGTAACTTGGAACATGTTTCATGACATGTAACTTTGGATTTGTAACTTGTAACTTTAGTTTTCTAACTTGTAATTCTCATTTTGTACTTGTATTTCTTGTTTTGTAAAATCAAACTTTTATTTTGTACATTTACTTCTCATTTTGTAACATCAAACATTCATTCAGAAACATGAAACTTTCGGTTTTTACCTAGCAGACTTCAAAAATTAAAAAAATCAGTGTACAAGTTTGACATCAACACTCCCAAAACACACATTTCGTTCTACAGGTACAAACCTCACATCTACAGCGTTACAGATCATTTTGTCTCAATTCTAGACAGAATTGAGACAAAATGACATATTGACAGAACCCTGCCCTCCTCTCCCAGTGATTGGACAGGAATTCGAGAAACGTGATTGGTAGCTAAGACTCGTGCTCTCATTGGTTCCACCCAAGTTCCTCCCACCGACGCTAGAATAGAGACAGAATGATCTGTAACGCTGTAGATGTGAGGTTTGTACCTGTAGAACGAAATGTGTGTTTTGGGAGTGTTGATGTCAAACTTGTACATTGATTTTTTTATTTTTGAAGTCTGCCAGGTAAAAACCGAAAGTTTCATGTTTCTGAATGAATGTTTGATGTTACAAAATGAGTAAATGTACAAAATAAAAGTTTGATTTTACAAAAGAAAAAATACGTGTACAAAAAGAAGATGTCCTGTTACAAAACAAGAAATACAAGTACAAATGGAGAATTACAAGTTAGAAAACTAAAGTTACAAGTCATGTTCCAAGTTACAAACCCTGGTACAAGTTACATTGAATATTATCCCATCCTAGCTCCATAGAACAACATTATTTACAGAAAGCAACTTGCTGCAGCTTTAATCTGCTGTCCTGGATTATCTTTATGCTTATTCCCATTTTCTAATTCTAACAAGAGATGAGCAAAATAAATAAAGAGGCGAACACACACAGGTTGTTAAAAGTAACTCCTGTAATCTTATTTTATCTTGATCATCGTTGGAACCTCCCTTATGGTTTGTTCGGCTTACATTTTATTTTCAAGTTCATTTAAAGTCATTCCAGTCAAACGTAAACATGATTGTAAATTGTTGTTTCCAACATTATTAAATGCTTTTGTTGTTTACCATCATCACCATCCACGCCCACAAGAACAAAAACAAAGACCGAGGCTCACAAGTGTTTTAACCTGATCTCTCACACACACACACACACACACACACACACACACACACACACACACACACACACACACACACACACACACACACACACACACACACACACACACACACACACACACACACACACACACACACACACACACACACACACACACACACACACACACACACACGCACGTGTCTAAATTCTTAAGTGCAACTTCTTGAAAAGTGATTTCCGTTTCAGATCTCCTCCCAGTTAGAACCACATGCACACCTGGGCTGGATCATCTCAAACCCTCACCTGCTTCTTCCTGCAGGCACAACACGCTGGTCATGTGACATTTACAAGCGTTACATTTCAACCTGACTGAATGTTGTGCAGAAGCTAAAACAGCTCATGACGGATGTCTGGTCTTTGGATGGGAGACGAGTCTTCCAGTCTCAAGGTCAGCCGTTCGTGGATCGGCTGACGTCACCTACCAAACTCATCTTTATGTGTAGGAATCTGTGAACGAAAGTGGTAAAAAAAATGGCCTAAAAACAATCCTCTAGAGACATCTTACAGACAGTTCAGACCCTTCCCAGTGGGTTTTTATGGAAATGTCATAAACAGTCATCAGATCTGCTGTAGGTAGGGCTTTGCACTACCCCTACTTGGAGAAATATAGACTATACCAGTGGTATTCAATAGGTGGCCTGCTGGCCGAGTCTGGCCCATCTTTGTGGCCCCTGATCCACCAGCGCCCCCCCCCCCCCCCCCCCCCCCCCCAACATTAGCACGGCGTAGAAACTGAGCTAGTGTGTATGTCTCGGCCACCAGAGTGAACTACGGCACAGCCTATGCTAGGTTGAGGGAGCTAAAGGAGGCTACAAAATAACGGACTGATAGTGACCTGGCTTTGTTGCTACTGGACTTGTAAGTAATAATATGTGTGTGTGTGTGTGCTATCTTTTTACTTGTGGCTTATTTAGTAAGCTCATGTTAGTGTTAGCTTGTTGTTAGCGCTAGCTACAGCAGGCTGCTGCAGGGTTGCTTGTAATTCCACTTTCAACCAGCAGGGCTGAGAACCTGGAAACAGTTCGGTGTGAAGTAAACTTTCTAACTCCTTCCTACGAGGGATAGGATCATTTGTAACTTCTTGTATCCTATGAATATCACCTTAGGTGTGTTCTTGCTGCGTCGTGGTTCTAATTCCACGCTGTCGTTCTTTTTAAAACACAGAAACAGTTTTGTTGACCTGTTTTGTCCCTACGTTTCGCCGGCGGCTGCAGGCTTCGTCAGGCTGACGCTGGTGGTGGCGCGTCACGTATCAGTGTTTTTGGGATTATTATTACTTTTCATGTCTAACTTGCCAAAATCCCTCTAAAAAACGACTTTTCAGCACTTTCTCAAACGTGTTGTTTGCAGATTCTCATGATGCATTGTGAGAAGAACACGACGTGTTGATCAGCTGACTTGTTTATGAAACTGTTTGCATGGACTTCAATGGCTGTGACACTTCGGACCTCTAGACTAGCGGTTAGCTTATCAATCCAGTTAGAACTAAGCTCTGTTTTCTAAAATCGAAGAGTTATTTTTATTCATAAAAGGAAGTCACTAAAATGATCTGAACTGTCCCTTTAAACAGGGTAAAGAGAATGATTGCAGCCCACATTTACATGCGGCTAACCCTCGTTTTACCTTCACCATCACCAAGTAAGCATCACAGTAAATGCAACTAAACAGAGAAACCACAGTAAGAGACAGAAAAATGACATTTAACCTCATAAAAAACAAAGCATCACGTTTTCCCGCTGCAGGTTTCAAGACTAAATCACAATTCCATTCTGTGTCTGTTGTGACATTTACACGAGCACTTGAATGTCTCATGTGCCGGTGGGTGAGCTGCTGAGTGACCCCAAAGGTCAACCATCAGCACGCTGTCCATCATCGTTTTTATCCCCTTCATCGGCGTTATCAGCTACTGGAGTCTATCATAGCAGGGTTACCATGGTGAATAAGGTGCTAGTCGCTATGGAAATGCTATTCTGAAGCAACCAAAAGGTACATTTGTTCAAATCTTGAAATGCTGAACCTCCCCACCAAAGCACTTAACGTTGAGCTTAAGTTGTGTTTGGCGTTTTTTGATTTTTTTGTTGGAATTTTGCATTTTTTTTGTTTTACTTTGAAGACGTACAGTATGCAGATGCATTATGGGTTGTTGCCGTTCCTCTGACGGCTGAACACGCCCGGGTAAAACACCTAAAACAGGATTTCTCACTCAGACGCGGTAAAGACAAGCTGATCATACGCAGGGTTAGATGTGTCGGGGCTGAACACGCACCGCGTGACTGTCCCTCCTCTTCCTCCCACCTGGAGGAGGGTTGTATTGCTGAGTGTCCTCGTCGCTGCTCCGCAGCCATCGTGTGCTTTGGTAACCTTGGAGATGACGGAGGACTCGCGGAGAAACTAAAACATGGACACTTACAGTTTCTGTCAATGGCACGTGGAAATTCTTCCCCTTTTTTCTTTTTCTCCACAAAATGACACGTTTAGTGAAAGATTCATTCTTTAAATGCTTTGTATTCCTTCTTCTGCCGTCTGTAGACGAATGCAAACACGGGATGACACAGTAAAAGATGGCTGACCACAACAAAACCCAAACTTTTTGAGCGCCACGGTGTTTTTGTGTGTTTCAACTATCAGCTACTTCATCTAGGTTCCCAACCAGACCCAGCACAGATCATCTGCTCGGGTCCAAATTCTGTTTTTTTTCCTCCGCGGACTGGGACGAGTGTCCAGCATGAAGATCAACAACAACAAAAAGGCAACATCAATCTGTTAGCTTCAGTTCGTCTGAGTTCAGTTTGAGTCTCAGTGCACAAAACTACGGCAGGTAGCCCTAAAGAGGTGTTACGGCCTATTGGATCCGAGGAAAAGTCATCAGATGGTTTGCAGTTGTGTTGCTGGACGTCGTAGTTTGAAGGGTTTTGTTGTATAAATGCTTGGAGTGGTGAGCGTGACTCGACAGGCTCACCCCGTGGCCTGCTCCGACGCCAAGGCAAGCAGATGCACACGAAAACAAGTCACACACAGGCTAGCACACCTGCACCTGGCTGAGGTTAGCGTCTGTGTCACCCAGCGCCCGGAGGGCTTCCAGCGCTCCGTCAGACACACACACACACCTGTACAAACACACCCATACACACTGTGACAATTACCCCCCCTTCTGCCCCCCCCCCCCCCCCCCCCCCCCCCCCCCCGACCCGCTCCCAGCCCACTGACAGTGTGCACCCTCCCAAGGCTAGTTGGCATGGTGACGCTGATGAGACGGCCATTGCTAGGAGACGAAGAGAGCGGCAAGGAGGAGCATGGTCACGGTGAGCAGAAGGCGATCTCGGGACGGACTGCTCCCGCTGACGCTCTTCTCCAGTTTGGGAACAAAAGGGTTGTAGTCATCTGGAAAAAAGGAACAGAAACAAAAAACAGTTACCCAAAAAACCTTCATGGAACTTTCAGTCCCACGCCGGCAGAAATGTGGCTAGTCAGCACGACACCAGCAGCGCTGCAGGAGGCTGCAGCTGTCATTACAGAGCTCTCATTGTTCCGATAAACTGACACTCTTTAGACGGAAACACGCGGAAGGTTCTGTAATCCTCTCCGATAACCTGGCATGCACACCTGGTATTTGTCTAAAAATAGTTTGCAGTCTTTTGTTCGGGGCCAGACGCCGAAGGTTGACGTCAACCTGACGAAGAGAAAAACAGCAGCAGACAGCTCAGTGCTCGCCTGCACCTCTGAGACGCGTGTAGTCACTTGATTAATGAGACTGCAGACGAGACGGGAGCACGATTTTCCGTCTGTACAGAAGTCAGCCGAGGCTGATTAGCAATTCCGTTTAAAGCTGGGACATCTCAGTGTTTCCAGGATCCATTTCCAGCTGCTCTGCGGGTCAAAGTGTGGAGTAATGACTGGCTGACACCTGGTTTTCCAACCAGCCTCCTCTGGTAAGCTCTGCTGGCCACGCTAATGAGGTCCATGCAGCGGCGGCGCTCAGGTTAAACGCTCTGACCGCGCCCGCAGCTGAGGGGTCACGACACCGAGTTACTTCCCTGTGTTTCTCTGGCACTGACCGACTCAAGGATGGGGTTTCAAAAACATAAACAGAGAATCAAACACACACACACACACACACACACGCACGCACGCACACACACACACACCTGTAGGACCCTCACCATGTAACCCTCATGTCCATGCCGTCTCTGGAGGAGCAGGTAGGAGATAGACCTCCTGTAACTTCAGATGAACCAAAGCTTCCTCCCAGTTTCTCTTTAAGCTGAATTTAACATCAGTTCATCATCATGAAACAAAAGAATAAAGTGGAACAAGAACTTCTGTCCTTTTAACTTCTCCGTGTCCCTAAATAAGAGATAGACGATCACGCTGCAGCTGCCGTCACTGACCCCGCCCCCTCCCCAAGACCGGATCTCCCGACATCACAGCACTCGGTCTGACTGAGCGCTTCCAGGAGAAATAATAATGAAATTATGAAAATAATGATGTGTGTTTGGAGAAGCGTCCTCCGATCCTCTCTCTCTCTCTCTCTCTCTCTCTCTCAGTCGATGATCGAGCGAGCGGAGAGCGCCGCGCGGCAACCCGCTCAATTAACGTAATTCACGGCCCAAATCCAACAGAAGCGATGGGGCTGATTCGGTTCGGTCTCAGGTTATAACTCCAGCGCTCAGCCCTGCAGAACCACATAAAGGCAGATCAAAGTTTCCTACCCGGTAAACGTGGAGAACACCGCTCTGATGCGCTGCGCTGGTGCCGCCGTTAAAATAACAAAACCACATTCCGCCGTAACGGATTCTGGTGCTCTTCTATGATGCAGAATTGTTTATGCCCGCACCTCCTGCATCGATTATTTGATGATTTTCCTCAGCTCTATCCATCCTGCATCCACCGGTCGGCCATCGGGGGTGGGGGCGGGGTTTGGGGGCCACAAAGAGAGGGCTCGCGGGCCAGATGTGGCCCGCGGGCCGCCATTTGCGGACCAATACTTTACATTATTGTTGCACTAGTTATAAAAAGCATTTCCATCCACTAACGTATAAAATTTGTCTCATGTCACAAAATCACAGAAACAAAACTTTTCGTCCAATCGAGGACGACTTTGAATTGGTGAAGACTCGTGTTTGCGGTCACATAACCACCGAAAGCGCGATTTACACGCACGATCCGGAGAATTCATTTATTCCAAGAGACTTTTTTCTCTTTATTATGTTTCTAAGTAAAAACCGTTTTAATCTAAGAAGAAATAAAACAAGATTTATTGTAACGTGAAGAGATTTAAAATAAATCTTTTCTTGTACGTGAAGTTTTCTGTATGTTAGTAAAGGGGGTTGGGATGACGCTTATTAAGATTTGCGACACATTTTAATGACTGCTATCTACCGACGATCCGCTCAGAGCCCCTTCATGAACTCTTTTCCATGTTCTACTGAGCTGGAGTGTATTAAATTATCAGGTGAAATAAATCCCTGAGCCAGAAACGTGGTTTATAAATCACATCCGTACACTTTAGACGATAAATAACTCAGTTCTTCCAACAAAAGTTCTAATAAAAACAGAACTGAGTGAATCACAAACAGCTTGCCGCTGATACCCAATCGGACGCCGCTGACAAATGACCCCAAACACACGATCGCTCAGAGGAGTTGTAATTGCTACGATAAATCCCATTAAAGCAAAAGCTGGTGGTTCCTACGCTAACGGCTGGAGCGGATCGTCAGCCGCCGTGACCCTAGCCAACGCCGTGACTAAATGAGCATCCTCCCACTGAAAGCCGTCAGCAATCACACAGCTGCACGGGGAGCTGCTTGCATCGTTCCATCTGCGTTGTGAATGAGATCTAAATGGAATCTAGTACTACGGGCCGTATTCAGGAGGGAACCGCTGTTGAGCTGTAGACGCTGACTGAATGGGGCAGCGCCCAGGAAATAAACCGTGAGCAGCGAAGGGGAGAAAAGAGACGGGAGGTTTACTCTGCGAGGCTGCAGAGCTCAGTGTAGTTAGTCTCTCGCACACGATACTCTGACAGATTTACTCATCGCCGTGTGCTGATGCTGAACTCAGAAAAAGCCAGTAATTAAAACTCTGATGCGACGAGTCTAATCAGCAGTCAGGAGGGGGACGCGGGGGTGGGGAACAGGAAACTACCGGCTCTTTGTTTACGGTTCATTTCAAAAGTCCCCGCCGACTTCTGAGCTTCATCTCACTGCTGCAGCTACGCTATTAATGTAATTAACAGCAAAACACAACAGGTGAAAAGGACCCGCAGGCTCTTGGGTGAACTCCTCAGCTACTGCATCACAGGTTTGAATGATGATGACGGTTTAGACGAGGTGCGATGGTGCAACAGAGCGTCTCGCAACTGCAAAGGAACAAGTTCAAAGATAATACGACTGGAAAAAGAACGCAATGCAGCTCTCCTGCACGCAAAAGGTGATTTTTTTTCTAGTTTCCCTGTTTGTGACATCACAGATGGGAACTTTTTGAAATGGCTTGTTTTAGACACATAACTCCTAAAACCAAACACTGACAGAGAATGGATGGATGCTTTTTACATGTTGGGGTGTAAATAGAGGCAGCAGGACCCACACGGCAGCACAGAGGGCGAATTCTGAATAATATGTCCCCTTTAAGAGGATAAAGAGTTATTAAAGCCAACGCCTTGTTAAAGAACACAAATTAAGTGAACTGTTGAACTTATCAACCGGTTAAGGTCAGAGGTCAACAGAAAGGAAAGGGTAAGTTGTTGCGGACATTCTCGCCACCTAGAGGATTGATTTCAGCATTTCTTCTGAACGAACATAGAGATGTTTTTATATCAGGGGCAGTGAAGACGGGCTTCAATTTCACAGCTGGAAACAGAATAAAACCGAGTTTCGGTGGCGTTCCCCTCCGATGGATCGCCGCATGCTTTCTGAGAGGGGAAGGCAAGAGGAAGATGGGAAATAAAAAAGAGAGGAAAAGGAGATGGACAGAGAATGATGGAATAACGATGGGAGATAAAACGGGGGGGTATGTCAAGAAACCAACGTGGCCTGCAGCTAGAGTTTTCTCGACAGCTGTTATACAAAACTGATTTATCGCACACACACACCCACGCACACACACGCACGCATACACATACACACACGCAAGCACGCACACACGTGCACACACGCGCACACACGCACGCATACGCATACACACACACGCAAGCACGCACACGCAGGCACGCATGCGCACACATGCACATGCACGCACGCGCACGCATGCACACACACACACACGCACGCACACGCACACACACACGCACGCATACGCATACACACACACGCAAGCACGCACACGCAGGCACGCATGCGCACACACGCACATGCACGCACGCGCACGCATGCACACACGCACGCACGCACGCACACACACACACACACACACACGCACACACACACGCACACACACACACACACACGCACACACACGAATTAACAACATATTTCATAAGCTACCTGTGGGGAGAGCACGGAAGCTGCACATGATTGATACGAGCATGTTGGCTAACAGTTGGCCTCCCGCTAGGCCACGGCTAGGTGTGCATGGTCTAACTCTGTTGCCATGACGACAACGATCTATATGGTAGAATGACCTAAAACCTTTTTATTTATGGGTTTATCTTAGACAGCTGCCGGAGTTTTAAACAGTACCGCTGTGGCTAACGGGACGGCACACAGGAGCACCTGCAGCAGGAAACTGTAACAAAACCTAAAGAAACTTTCTTCTACTGAATGATTTGTTTTGCCACTTTTGTGCTAAATCTCATAAAACTGTGAGTTCTCTGATGATCGCTTTGAAAAGGGGCAGGAAATATGTGAAATTAGTATTCATGTAATTGTTAAGCAGGACGAGCAGCTTGCCAAGCCAGCTGGAGCTGTGAGGTTTACTGCAGCGGGCGTAACGTCCTTTTGTTGATTTCACCCAGGTTAGTCCTGCAGCCCCACCACGGGGTCTCCAGTCGATGATCGGTTTGTAATCGATCCGAGTCCTCCTCCGAGACAGACCGCCAGTCTGCTGGCCAATGGGTCTGACTGGAGGGTAAACTAGACGTGCTGCAGAAGATTTAAATGTGGTGGCTAACGTGCACGTGTGCCTCTGCTTCACAAGCTGAGGAGAGGAGTAGAGTCTGGGGAGGTTCGGGTCGGGTCCTGGAAGTTTTCATCAGTTCTCTGTGGGGTTGAGCTGACGTCATACGAAGTTAAAGAAAGACCAAGACTGTCTTGGTCAGCTGGTCTCTCAACGCGATTGACGACATTTTTTCAACGATGAGAACGGGAGAAGGGGCTCCCGGATGCCCCTCTGGGACAGAGCCAGCTGGGTATATCATGGACTCCTGGAAACAGTGGAACCTGATCTGCCTCTCTCAGCTGTCTGTAGAGGATTCTGAAGATGTTTGGATATTCGTGGTTTTGGTGTCGGGATTCCTGCTGTTTGGCCTGAGCGGTTACCTGGTTTACCGGAAAATTAACTAGCTTTCGAGGAATATTGGCTCAATCCCGGAGCTCAGGGATGGAATGCATCGCGCTGTGAACGCACAGACTCATATAATTGTCGAGATGAGTCGTAAGCTTGGAACTTTGGCTGAGATTCAGGCTCTGGCACAGAAGGTGGATTCCATCAAGGAGAGAGTGGACGGATCAGCAGGGATTGTGATTGATTAATTACGCCATTATTGTATCTAGAGGGGCTGAGGACCAACAGAACTCTAAGACAGAGAGGAAATGACCTCTGTCTGTCCCCAAAACAATTCTTATCTGAATCTGGTGCCCTTGGAGCCTGTGAGGCTGGAGTGTGGAAGAAATGTAGAATGTTGCCGTAGCTATGGAAACTCTTTCTCTCTATCCCAGCCTGGGCGGGACTGTGACCGGTGAAGGCCGTGGAACCGTGCTCTCTAACCCATTATCTCCCTCCCCTGTCCAAACGGAGGTGATGAGCGCTGCCCCATGCGGCTGCACGCACTGAAGTGAGGAGAGACCCAACCCTACCTCCCCACCTAGTGGACACTTATGTTGTGTTATGTCTGAAGTGTGTGCATTTGTGTCTGAGGTGTTCTTTTGCAGAGCAAAGCTGCCCTCTCTGTGGAGGGTAACTCTGAAGTGCCTTTTTCCCTCCCCCTGACTCTATCCTCATATAAACCCTCTTGATCTATTACGGTAGCGCGACTCGGGTTGCGAATGACCACAGTCACCAGTTCTTGTCATGTGTCTATGTATGTATGTCTAATCTCAGAATTGTGTGCACGGAAACTCTAATTTCCCTCTGGGATTAATAAAGTATCTTTGAATTGAATTGAATTGTCTCCTAGTCTTTCACCATAAGAACACCACACTAGCATACTCATCAGCCATGTAGGTTTGTTACGTTAGAGCCTGAACTCGGTCGTCAGGGTAACGGGATGTTTGGGGCTCCTTCAGCGGTCCTGGGACCAAACCCCTGTGCTGCTTTTAGATTCATAAGATCGAGTTAACTCCACCTTTTGGTTCATAGTCATTATAGAAGTTTATTCTTGGTAAAGTGGGTCGCATCCACCTTTCTCCAGGCACTCAGGACTGGAAAAGTGCCTCAGGAGGAGGAGGCTGGATTTTCCCACATCAGATTATTACAGAACATATTAAAGGTGGAACGTGGAACAGGAACACCACAGCGACATCTAGTGTGTGGAGGTTATAGCTGCAACAACAGAACAAGGTTTCCAGTGGTTCGCTGATGTGTCGTTTGGGTCCAGCTGTTGTAGGCTTCACCTAAACTCACTCTGGTTGTAGATCTTTTATGGCCGCTCCTCTTCTGAGAAGATAACGGCATCTTCTGGGCTCAGGAGCAGCTTGCTGAGTCCACCATTTTCCACAGAGCCAGCCTCGCTGTGCCGAGCGGCCTGTTTGGCAACCCTCAACGCTGCCCTCTACTGGCTGGTGGATGCAAACATAAACCCAGTGTCGTGCCCGTCTAAATAAACATTTGATTATTTTTTTTATTAAAATTCAGCTTTCAAAGGAAAAACTGTAACTTCTACTTAACCTAATCTCTGTTTTTATTAGTAAACTGTAAAGAATCACAGAAATGAAGGGTGTGAGCTCGTGAGTATGTGTTTAAAATGTCTATTTGACTCACCAATGTCGTCGATTTTTAGGCCTGGTCTCAGCGTGTAGTCTGGTTCTGTTGGCTCTGCTCCATCCTCCACATCAGAGGCTGAGAGAGAAATAAAAAAACAACAGGAGAAGCTGTGTGAGACTGAGTAGCAGGCGTGCAGAGAGGCAGGGTTAAACCACAGCGCTGGCCTGAAGGATTTTAATTACATCCAAACTGACATCTGGAGAGGAACATGCAAGAGAGTGGCAAGACGAGGGTGTAGAGGTTAAAAAAACCCCAGAGCAGGCAGACTGACAAGCCAGAACATCACCAGAGGCCTCGACAAAGAGATAGAGAAAAGAGAACGAGGGCCGAGAGGGGAAGCAGAACAAACTGAAGACAGTCAGTGTGTGAGAAGAAAGCCGTGGAGTGGCGGGGCTGAAGGAGGGAGGAGAGGTTAATACTACAGGGCTGTGGAAGTTAAAAGGACCGGACAGGCAGGGGATCAAAGAGTGTGTGTGTGTGTGTGTGTGTGTGTGTGTGTGTGAGGGTAGGCAGGAGGCTGAGAGAGCATCACACTACAGATACACAACCACCCACTGACCGCTCACGGCAATTAATGGATTCTGACAAGGAGCGAAGGAGGAAGGGTGAAAGAGCGGGAATGAGAGGGGAAGAGGACAGGAAGGAGGCGGCGGGAGCCTTCAAAGCCGGAGAAAAGAGAAGAATATAAAGGACGAGGCAGAAAACAGACAAAGGAGCGCGGTGTCGGAAGGTTCTGACTGAAGAGGGAGCAACAAAAAAAAAAAAAAAAACGCATCACGATGTTCGCGTTGCAATGAATTCAAGCTGCTAAGCATTTATTTAGACTCTCAGTTCCTACAGCTGGTTTAGGTGAAAGTGGCCAAAATGCTAAACGCAGCGTTTGGATCACACAGAGGCCTCCGGGGGGGCCCTGTGGGACACCGTGGAGGGGGTCCATTCTGCCTTGGCCCCAAAAGTCCTTGAAACGGCCCTGTGTGTGAGGCCGTGTGAGTTTTCAAATATTTCTTTATGAAAATAAAAAGGGATAAAAATACCAACATTTTCCTTTTCAAGCACTTTGTTTAGTTTTCTTGTTTTGTTTATTTTTGACTATTTTCCTGTCTCTTCTCTGATTTTCTCCTCTCAGTCCTCCAGAAAAACTGCTGCCTGGCTTTTCTACAGTTTTTCACCTCAGGAGATACTTTTGAACCAAGCCGATCAAAGAGATCTGCCGACCGCAAAAGCAGCGGAGAGCGCGCTACGCCGCCGCCGCGCTAGCAAAGTGAAGTCATCGGAGCACGGGTGATGAGCCCTGTAGCAGCAGAGCGCGTCGGGAACAAGTAAAGGACAGAAAGTACCAGACGATACGAGCGGACATGATCGACCGTGTGTTTATTTTATTTTTGGGTGGCGCCACTTTGAACGCAGCTCCCCTTCACCCTTTCAGGGGAGGCAGGCTCCCCTTAGCTCCCCTGTGATTTAAACCCTGGCTAAAACCAAGTGTTCGTAACAAAACACAGCAAAAACTCAGCAGGAGGGAAAAAATCCAGATGTTTAGATTCTGCTGCTGAGATTTTGATTTGTGCAGAGAGTTTGTGGAGATGGGTGGAACAGGGTACCTGCAGGTTTAAGGGAGCCAAATTTAACACTTTTTAAGACCTTTTTTAAGGCCACTTTGACCGAATTTAAGCTACAATTCCCAGCTATTGCCTGGAACCGCTACTAACCACGTCGCAAACATAGGATTAGCCATCCAGTTGCCATTAAACTTGCACTTCCCCATGGCGCAAGCTCCCACTAGCTTAACCAGCTAATGTGCTCATCTAAAAACAGTCCCCTTTCACAACCAACTGAATGTGTACGGTTCCACTTACGCCAACATCGTACACAAAAAATGCTGAACGCTAACTAGAAATTCATGAAAATTTTATAGAAATAAAATAATCTTGTTTATTGGGTCTTTGGTCATTTAAGACCTTTGGAAACTGTATTTAAGGATTATTTGTCATTTTTAAGGATTTTTAAGACTTTAAATTTGGAAAAGCTAATTTAAGACTTTTTAAGGACCCGCGGATACCCTGGTGGAAGTGTTTGTCGGTGTGAAACGATCACCTACCGGTGGGACAGCAAACGTACACTCGTAGTCTGAGACAGTTGTGTCCGTGGTGACGGACGGGCGTGGCTGTAAAATACAGAACACACAGTTTCACCAACAGGCTCAAGTTTTACTGCTTCAGATGAGAAAACAGATTATCAATCCAAACCTCCAGATCCAAAACAAACCCGGTGCTTACAGGATAGCAGCTTTTTAGGCGTGGAAGAAGTTTGGCACAGCTTGATTTGAGTGACGTTTGCTTTTTCTGATTTTAACAAAACAAATATGATTTTATAGACTCTCCCTTACGATCAAATATTAGGGTCACCGCAAAGAAATATCAAGGTGGAGGGAAGATTTTTTCACCTGGACGGTAAGAAAAAAGGTTGAAGTTCAACTCAAACTGTCAAGTAAATCTTTCTAAATGAAAAAAAAAAAAACTTAAAAATTAAGTTGTTGTTTTCTATGTTGTATCGGTTCGTTGTGAATGACCTTATGAGCAACACGATGGTTTACTCATCGTTAAAACATGTTCGGAAATACAACCATAATTAGTAGAAGCAGAGCCCTGCACGGGCCTGAAATCTGAGCCCGTGTCGGCCCGGCCCGAGGGGGTGGAGCCCCAGCCTGACCCGGTCCGAAAAGGTTTTCAGGATTCTCTGGCCCGACCCGAGCCCGACTTTTTTTTAAACTTTCATAATGTTTTAGCGTGACAGAAGCTCAGCATTGTAATTACCTGTGGGAAGCGTTCTGCAGTAAAAAAAAAAAAAAAGAAAAGAAAAGAAAGAAAAACAGCATCAATGCAGCGTTTTTTTCTAACAGCGTATTTTTCGAGCGGCAGATGAAATTTACGAACATATTAATTGGATGCGTTTGTAAATTTAATCTGCTCTGAAAATGCGCTCTTGTGCAATTAGAAAAAAAATCCGCATTCTAATTTTCTAACTGGAGAGCGCATTTTCAGAGCGGCAGATTAATTAAACGCCCCCAATTAATATATCGTTCGGAAATTTAATCTGCCGCTCTGAAAATGCGCTCTGCAGTTAGAAATAAACCAGCAATGAATGCTTTTATTTAACTGCAGAGCGAATTTATTCACAGAAAAACAGAATGCTGCCGTTTTCATGAGAATGAACAAATGTTTTCTGACATCAAAGTGGACATAAAACGGCATGTTAGAATAGGGGCACATGTTTCAATCAGCAGTGTGAGAATTCGTTTATATCGGCGCGTTTATAAACCACACACACCTTAACTGAGCTAACGGGTGCCGGTGTGTGAGAAGCAGGAAGGTGCTGCTGCGTTCAAGTGTTTCAGTTTTTTTTTATGAAGCTGATTAAAAATAAAGGCGCCCGGCCCGGCCCGTGTCCGAGGTGATTACACAGTCGTTGGCCCGAAGCCCGGCCCTCGGGCCGTCGGGCCGGGCTGACCCTCGGGCTCCAGTGCAGGGCTCTAAGTAGAAGTAACCATGAGATCCGTTTAAATCTTGATTAGCAGCTTTAACTGGAAATTAGGGCTGTTTATTTATCGTTATCAACATTCTGACTCTTATCGAGGTAATTTTTCCCACGTCAAGAAATTTGACAGTAAAAAAATGAAAAGATGTGTGAAGGTTGGCAGTGTTCATGTCCTTTTAAGAAGCTGTACCACCTTGAGTCACATAAAAATGTGACTCAGCGTAATACACATGACAGCCCCATCTAGTGGACACCTTTGGTTTCTGCGCACACCGGTAGTTATCGTCCATTTATCGTTATTGAGGTGAAATCCTCGATATATCGTGATATTGATTTTAGGCCATATCGCCCAGCCCTACTGGAAATTCAAATAAAAAAAAACCACAATTTCAAAAAATAAATTCTAATGTAAAAAAAGTTCTTAAAGTTCAATTAAAAAAGGATAAAAATCTATTTTTCAAAAGATAATTGTGTGAATGTTTATTACCGGAACACGCTAACTTACGTTCAAAGTAACGTCAAAACTCTGAAAGTCATCGGTTTCAATGTGGCGCCAAATTCAAACCTAAGATATCCAAAAGAAAATGTAAAATTATCAGCACAGCTGGCTGTTAAACGCTAAAAATCTTCATAATCTGCTACAAGTACTGATTAAATAAACAAATAAAATGTGATTTAGTATGTTTGAATGACATGTGATCACGAGGCTGTTTCAGTCTAACTGCTGCGAGCGGCTGACAGGCTTCACGGCCTAAATGGAACAGATCCTTTGTTAATAAGAGCAACCGCCGTGTTTTCCTGCTGTGTGGAGTAGAAACGTCTGCTTTAAAAATCATCCGTTAAAGTCGAGCAGGATTTATAAAAATAGGTCACGCCTTCGCTTCACGTTCGGGATTGTTTCATTTGAATAATTAAACGAAACAACAAAACCGAATTGTGGAGTTTTTAAAAGTGACGTGTCTTTGATCTGATGCTGCAGGTTGGTTCTGAGCGTTCACAAACAGCATCAAAGATAAACAGCTTTTGTTTGTTATTTTGTTACTGCCGACAGCGCCGAGCCGCCGCTCTGCTGTGGTGCATTCTAGAAACGCCGTGCGTAGACGCTGCCACTCATTACAGAGTTGGGCGATGATGATATTTGCTTCTGACTTGCTTTGTGACAAGCTAAAGCTTCATTACTCGTCCGGCGTCATCTCAGCACAAGGAGCTGAGCGTTCATTTGATTAGCAGTCAAACAGAATGAATGCGGCTGCTTGACTGCAAGGTGGTGAGATTAGGTGTGAGGCAGTGATTCGTTTTCCTGACACGACACCGGGACGTGAGATTGGCTAATCTCAGCTCCGTATTAATCACACGTGTGCAAGTTTAAGGAAAAAAAAGAGACTTTTTCCTCCTCCTGATGCGTTGATGACCAGCGTTGTCATGGTAACACGCAGGAGCTGTGACTCACAGATGTAATAGTACTCCTGGCCGACGTGGAACTCGTAGCCCAGAGAGAAGGCGCTGTAGCGCTGGAACTTCTCGGAGAACTTGATGGGCGCGTGCGGGGCGTGGGGACGGTTACACTCCCACCTCTTGAAGCCCAGCTGGGGGTCACAGTTCCTGTAACCGCGGTAACTGACCATGTAGAGGACGTACTGCTCCACGACGCTGATGCCGTGGCTGTCGTTGTAATGAGGGCAGTAGATGTCCAGGTAGTCGTTGACGTTCACCATCATCGTGTATCCCTCCTTATGCAAACTGGACAAACAGAAGG